CAAATATATAAATAAATATATAATTATTTAATTAATTAAATGCATGTGTTATTAAATAATTATTTAAATGTGTCATTAATTATTTAAAATTGGTAATATATAAATAAATATATACATAATTTATGAAATACATAAATAATTAAATAAATGTTTAAATAATTATTTAAAATGTTCATTCATTCTATGTAAAAACACATCTATTTATTCCACTATTTATTTAATTATTTCATGTTTCCTGCTCCAGCAGTGCATCATGAAATAATTTTATCTGTCATCCTCTCCCATCAAACTCAGTGGGCGGGATTAACGCTGATCGAGTCACAAACCATTGCTTTGGTCTGAAGGGTTGCCAGAATAGGCGGTTTCCCACCAAACAAACAAACAAACAAACATGGCAGCAATCACAGAGGATCCACATGAGCTGGTCGCCCACACCGGACACGATGCTGTAGAACGGCAGTGGGGATGTCAAAAGCCGGGCGCCCTGCTCCGGGTGTGTGCTGCGGCCCCGTACCGGAGAAGCGCTGGAGAACTTCTTCTAAGTTTGTGAACACTCTTCGGTCAATATCTTGGTCAGAGAGAGCGGAAATAACTCCAAGAAGAATGAATGAACATTTTAAATAATTATTTAAACATTTATTTAATTATTTATGTATTTCATAAATTATTTATTTATTTATTTATTACCAATTTTAAATAATTAATGACACATTTAAATAATTATTTAATTATTTAATAACATGCATTTAATTATTTAAATAATTATATATTTATTTATATATTTGTTGATTTATTTCCAATATTAAATAATTGATGACACATTTAATGATTTAATGAATTATATATTTATATATTTCATTTTGGCACTTTTAGTCCTCCATACCTTCTGGGTGGATTTAGGAAAATGTATATTTACATTTCATCAAACTGTCTTCAGTTAGGATATTTCTCTGAAAATACATGTTGATATGTGTCATAAAAACAAACATTTAAAGACAAGACTAAGGCATCCTCTAAAAATCACGACCGACAGAAAGAAAATCATCAATTTCTTCCTCTAATTTGAATAAATCTGCAGCATTAGGCCGACAGTGTGTGCTCTTATTTTGACAGAGATTTTAAAGATCAGAGTAAGAGTGATGATTTGTGTGCGTCTGAGCGCTCTGTCAATGATTAAAGGAGCGGTAGTTCACTCAGAGAAAAGCTCCTCCTGCTCCTCATATGTTCCTCCAGTTTACTCTCACTCACACTTGTTGCTCAAGAGCTGATTTTTCCCCGCTTCATTTCCCTCAGTGAACGCACCGCCTCACCGCAGACAGAGTGGTACAGCGTCTTGTTTGGACTCTTTTTTTTACTGTATGACTCACACACACAGAGAGAGAGGATCCAGCTTTTGTAATCCTCCAGTAAAGGACCGGGGTTTATCTTTTCAGATGTAGACTAGATGCAGATCAGACCGGTTTTCCCTGCATGAGTTTGACCTCCAGCTCTGCCTCCACGTCTCTTTTCAGAGCTCGTCCTCACATTATGTCATTAAAGACTGATTCACCGTCTCCTCGTACCAAAACCCCCAGAGAGACATGAGAGAGGAGGAGCTCTGCAGGGACAAATTCATTACTGTCTGACCTTTCTCTAAAACTCTACAGCAGGGGTGTCCAAAGTGCGGCCCGAGGGCCATTTGCGGCCCTTGAGGGGATTGTTTGCGGCTCGTGACTTCAAATGAAGAATCAGAAGATTTTGATTAAGATCGGCACATTATCTTATTTTTCTTTTTCATGTTAACAAGCGCTGAACAATATTCCTAAAATAGAAAATGTTCAGTAACATGTATGTTGTTGTTTTTTTTAAATCTACAGCTTTTACTATTTTCCACATTTTTTTGTAAACTGTGAAAAAAAACTTATGTAAAGTTTGTGCAAACAAGCGGACTGTTGTTTAACCATTTAATGACCTGAGCTAAATGCAGAAAGCTTTTCCAAAAACATGAACCACGTTACAGACTTGATTCTGAGAAAAAAACAAATAAAGTAGAACGAAGAAATCAAAATATTTGATTTCCTTTTATTAAAGGGTTTCTTTAGCGAGCCTTTTGATTCTGATCTACAAAGCCTTACTATTTTTAAAACTATATTTTAAAAAACAAAACCTGTGGCCCGCGAGCGATTCTAACACGACAATTTTGGCCCGCAAGAAAAAAAGTTTGGACACCACTGCTCTACAGGATGTGCAGAGAAGTGCCACAGTGGATCTCTACATGAAATATAAAACATAAATGAGACAGATTTTGAGTTTGCTTTGTGATGCTGTTTCTATAATCTTCAGGGTTTTCACACTCACACACAAAACACATATTTCACCCCGACTTTAAAAGTCATTTTTCTCACTAAACACCTATAGAGCGCCACAGGAAGGAGTCCTAAAAAAAATAAAAAATAAAAATAATAATAAATAAATAAATAAATAATAAAAAAAATATACACAGGCAAGCATACACAGGAATTACACACACACACACACACACACACACACACACACACACCTCTGTATCTGTCACTGCAGGAGAAACTATTCATGCTAAATCAAGCGATCGTCATGCATTCTGCACGGCTTTGCAGTTTTTGTTCAATAACTCTAACCTTCCTGCAAAGTGGATGAAGCAAAGGTTTGTCCTGTTCTGTGACTTTAAAGCTCTGAGTAAACGTGCTTTTAACCACTGGTTCTCAACTCGTCTAGTCTCGGGACCCACCACCAACTCCTCCAGGAAAAATCGCGACCCAAATTTTGGATATTTTTTGACCAATCAGATTCATTTACTGAAAAATGGTTCAGTTTGGACCTCAGTCAGTACAAAACATGTGACACAAGCAAGAAACTGAACAAAACAAACATTTTTAAAAAGTGCTTCTCAGACTTTTTTTACACAAGTTTTCTTTCCAGGCACACATTCGTGACCCACTGAAAATGGCTCAGCGACCCACCTCTGGGTCCCGACCCACCAGTTGAGAAACACTGCTTTTAACTATGCATACGGGAACGCATGACATCAGCCTTGCGTATCCTGCGGTGGTTTGGAGCGTTGGTTGTGCACGTCCTCAGAAATTAACGCCACACGTCCTCAAGATGCAATATGCATATAACCACTAGGGGCAGTGTAGAGCTGTGTGGTGATGAGACCAGATGAGACGACATCAGAGACACCAAAGAGCTGCTACAACAACGGAGGAACGTTTAAAAGAAGAGTTTATACATCAAGTCCACAACCATCGACACTATGATGCGTCTGCAACATGCAGACAGATGGTCTCTATTTCTGATTATGTGGTGCTCCCTCTAGAGGTTATATATTGTTACATTTGTTTTGACCTTCAGTCTTTTTCAGAGACCTGTCTCCCCCCCTCCTCTCTAGAGATGATGCTCACTCAGGTCACCATGTGGTGGACTCTGAAGCTTCAGTGTTTATCCAGCTCTGCATGGGTCTGTAAACCTTTCTGTGTTCTAACCTCTCTCCATTTTTCAAAAGCATCTCCAATATTGATCCTAGTTTGAGCACGTTTCTGCTCGTGGAGCTTATTAGAAACATGCAGAGGCTTTTTAGGTCGGGTACAATCACTTCTATCTGAACCAGTTTTACCCGTTTTAAACTCTACGGTGTAACCCCGCCTCTCGCCCAATGACAGCTGGTAGCCGCTCCAGCCTGCCTGCAACCTTTGGACGGGAAAAGCGGTAAAGATAATGGATGGATGGACATAACATATCTGTCCACGAGCTCTTTTTGGTAACAGCTTTTCTCTGGACGCCGGTTTCCCTCCGTCACCTATTTTCGGTGCAGTTGTCGCCCACAGGCTTCCCTGATGTTGACTGGAATTTGAATTAGGCGCCATGAGCGCGATGGGAAACGGCAGGTTTGTAAATTATGGAATCTGTCCAGAAGATATCAGTGTTGGTGAGTCACTAATGATCTCAAAGTTATTTTATGAAACTTGGACCTGATAAGCTGTAGTGATAAATCTCCTCCCCCTCACCTGACTCACCTGAGACAACCAGTAAGAGTAAATGATATTATAGTTATATAAATAATAATGAAAACTTGACTGTGTGTTTTAGCATTACAATCATGTAGCTGTTTTCATTTTTTATTATGTCACACATATATCACAATTTTGATATAAATGTTGAAAGAGTATCGCTAATGTAATACAAAATGATAATCCGCATATGATGAATAATCATGGAGGAGTTAGGAGTTAGATTCAGACATCCAACGAGCTCTGGAGAACACGGGGTTAATGATTGAAGGTCAGCGACCTGATGAACATCACGGCCGTTTTCAAGACCGCGTACTACATACTTTCTAAATCAGTATGCAGTATATACTGCAGACTACGTTCAACAGTAGTATGTAGTATGACTGCCAGTTGTCGGTTATTTTGCGGTATGCTTGGCTCCGGTTAAACTGGTTTCCAGTTTCCGCTCCTGGAATGCGGAAGTAAACAACGGCCCATCTGGAGGTAAACGTCGCTACGGTGTAGTGAAATAAGCTGACAAGTGCTTCATTTCGATTGTCCTTATTTTACATGGGACAAAAACATTTACCTGTGACATCGGGTCTAAGTTAATTCAGCGGTATTTGATCGTCATCAAGTCGCAGTGAATGTAACGGAGACGGATCTCAATTTTTGAAGTTCTTGGAGTTATTTCCGCTCTCTCTGACCAAGATATTGACCGAAGAGTGTTCACAAACTTAGAAGAAGTTCTCCAGCGCTTCTCCGGTACGGGGCCGCAGCACACACCCGGAGCAGGGCGCCCGGCTTTTGACATCCCCACTGCCGTTCTACAGCATCGTGTCCGACCACCATCGTGGGCGACCAGCGAGTGAAATTACTGAGAGGTTTGGAGTTTCAAAGAGGACAATCAGAAGACACATGAAACATCGTGGCCTAAGGTATTCACAGTTAAATTCACAGATTTTATTAAGATTATTAGTAGTGTACTGGCGATGTCCTTCATTTTAAAAGGTGTTAAGTGAAATGTAACATGTAGTTTGTTGGTCTGCTCAGAAAGACAGATCTCTACACCTGTTGCTGATGAGGAGTTGGACCGTATTGTAAGCGAAGTCCACAGAAGTGTCCAAACACCGGCTACAAGCTAATGCGTGGACATTTGAATGCTAGAGGTGTGCGTGTTCCAAGTGAGTATGATCCAATATGAATAAATATAAATAACCATGAACTAGGCGCAAGGTCAATGAGAATATATATTGTTAAGGTAAGGCTCATGTATGTGTGTATTCTTTTGCAACGTAGCGGCTGATATATCTGAAACTCATTTCCAGGGTAAATCCAGATTTGTATCCTGTTATTATGAAGTTTTATATATCATGTTGATGATAGATAAGGTGAACTCTGGTCATTTTTGAGACTGTGGTGGTTTTGTACTGGATTTACAAATTCAAACATTCGATATCAAACATGAAGTTAATCGAGGTTGTGTCGTTTTAAAACATGTGGTATCCAAGGCGTGAACATTTTGATGACCTGAATTTTTATTTTTTTATCCAGGAGCTAAATGTTGCTGATGATCCATGGTGTTGCCATTTATTATTATTTATTTATTAACACCCTAACACTATCAAAATACTTCTAAATATTTGAAACTCTGGTATTTTTTTTCCAGTATTTCTCAGTTAGATTTTTAAGTGTTTTTTTAAATAAATAGCAAATGAGTGTATGATTATTTTCTGCTCTAAAGTCTCAAGACTGAGAGTCTTTGCACAGAGTGGATGCTGAGGGAGTGTACATGAGACGTCTACGGCTGCATGTAACAAGACGACGGCAGTATTCTGTTCCTGGCCCAAACTCTTTATGGCACATAGATGGTCACCACAAGCTTATAAGGTATCAGTGATATTAGTTGATAAACAATGCAACTTTCTATAGATGTCCAAAGAAATGATCACATTAAAGCTTTTTTGTGTTCAAAACTGTCTGACAGGTGGAGATTTGTTGTCCATGGTGGGGTGGACGGATTCAGTCGACTGGTGGTCTACCTGAATGTGGCTGGCAATAACAGGGCTAGCACTGTCCTACAGAGCTTTATCAATGCCGTTCAGCAGTACGGGCTGCCGTCAAGGGTACGGTCTGATAAAGGAAGAGAGAATTCAGACGTAGCAGAATTCATGATCAGGAGCAGAGGTACCAACAGGAACTCTCACATCACAGGCAGAAGTGTACACAATCAGCGGTAGGTCAAATATATCTGTTTGGTGACTACTTGTACACAGTGGTGGACAAAGTACTCAACTCCAGTACTTGAGTCAAAGTATTGATACTCGTGGTCAAATCTTACTCAACTACAAGTAAAAGTTGCTCGGTCAAGATTTTAGTCAAGTTAAAGTACTAAAGTACTTACTTTTAAAAATACTTGAGTATTCAAAAGTACAAAGTACATTTTCTAATATCAGTGCATTGCTGTATTGTTTTCTCAGTGCTTACACAGAACCTTGTAACTCTCTGAAACCACCTAATGATGTATTGACTTACAAGTCTATAGAAACACCTGTAAAAACTTCAGCGTAAAAATGCAATCAAAAACAATAAGGACAGCTATTGTCATTTAATTTTTTTATTTAAACATCCCCACCCAAAAAAAACAGGAGGGCCTTTTTTTTCTCCCCGTACATTCACTGTGGGGGAGTTGCAAGTTTACTGTTCAGTCCATTACTGCGAACAAACTGCAACTCTGCTTTCATGAACTCATCATCCAGTTGAACCACTTGGCTACATGGCAACATAACCCTTGCCTTAATAAAATCTGTAAACCGCCCTGCATTTTTCCATGTCTGTGGAAAGTGATGGAAATCCCTAAAAGATGGTGCACATTTAGTCTCTTTCCTCAGCTTCTCCTGCCATCTCCATTGCCGAGTTTTGTTTGAATGAAGGCGGGAGAGCTTGCTACACTGAGCGTTGATGACGTATTTCCAAATCCATCCCATGTGTGAGCGGTGACTGTGATTGGTTCCCTTCTATGAGGAGCACAGCGTGAGGCCAATTGCATTTTAGAAAAGAAAAACACCAACAGCTGACTACAAAGCTATGCTGAGCCTAAAAGGAACCAGTAACGACGAGCTTCCTAGAAATGTAGTGGAGTCGAAAGCACAATATTTATCTTGTAGTGGAGTGAAAGTCACAAGTTTCCAAAAAAACTGTCTCCACCACTGCTTGTACAAACCATAGCAGCTCAATGTATTTTAAAGCTTGAGATTATATATTAATTAACAATTTGTCAATTGCATTCTAATTGCAGAATAGAGAGGATGTGGAGAGATGTTTATGAGCATGCCCTAGACCTCTTCTATCAGATCTTCACTTCATTGGAAGATCAGGGAACACTCAATCCAGACAACCAAGTCCATCTTTATGCCCTGCACCGGATCTTCCTTCCCCAAATTCAGAGAACCCTCAGCTCCTTCAGAGATGCTTGGAACTTTCATGGACTTAGAACTGAAAGGAATCAATCACCTAATGAACTCTGGAGAAGATACAGAGAGCAAGGCCCCATGGAGGATCCTGCAGAGGTTAAAAAAAAGATAGTAGTTTTACACTATTATTGAAACCTTTTGAAAATATATTCATATTTTGTTGGTCAGGAGATACAGGTGTTTGTCACTGATGTTTAGCAGATTTATTTTTCCTCAAATTTCTTAGAAGAAACATTTCAGACAGATGATAATTGGACCCACTATATTTGAATAAAAGGGTTTCTGTTATCACTTTGTTCTTGTTTTTGAATGAAACATGAGAATCTCTTCTGTCTCCTGAGCTCTGACAGAACAACATCTGAGCAGCAAAGTGCCTAAAACTTAATTTGTCACCAACATAAGGACCAATGATCAATCTCATGAATCTTGTGTGATGACATGTCATAGTAGTTTAAACAATATGTCAATCAAGGTTATCCTCTGTTCAGGTTTATGAAGACTATGGGATCGACTGGAATGGGCCTCACAATCAGCATGGAGACACTGTGTCAGTTCCTGAGATTCAGATGGCCCGTGAGCTCTCAGATGAAGAGGTTGCCATTTTGCCAGTTTCAGGAGTTTCTTTAAATGATGCAATTGGATCATATTTGGAGACAGTGCAAGTTTTGTCAAGAATCATTGGAGACTGATATCTTAAGCAGGCCTTTTATTTTATTTATTGTGCAAATGTCACTCATGAATTAGTTAACTTGATTTGTCAATAAAAATCTGAAATAATAATATGCTGTTTTAATGCAAATAAAACCAATTTTTCTAGCATCAAGAGATATTTCAACAACCTCATGTAGCCAATGACAACAGGCAAGGACAGCAAGGTGATGCACACTGAAGTATCAAACAGTTGACAGAAGAGCAACAACAAAGCAGTGTCATTTTCAGGGAAAGAAAATACTGCACTGTATTTGAAATGTTAGAAAAACACTGAACTCACTTCACTCAAATTGACCTTTTTCTACTGAATAAAAGCACAGCAACATCATTGCCTGAAAATACTTAAACAAGAGCAAATCCAGTGTGTGCACTGTCTATGGCAGCAACAAGTGCTTCCTCAAAGTCTTTGTAGGTGTTGTAATGAGCTGGCAGCTTCAGTGTTTCAAAGCATGTGGAGGATGATGGGAAGGTTCCCCCGGAAAACTCCACTTTGAGTTCTGGAGGGAGCATTTCCCAGCCGACCCAGAACTTCAGCAACTGAGCCAGAGTATCTGATGAAGCTAAAAGGTCATAAAGTGGATTAAGAACACAGTGCACTGTAACTGTTCAAATCCCTATGCATTTCATATATTCTACAGTGTTAAGTGAGATGTTTATGGGACATAGAGACATTGGTAAACATGAAAATAAATTGCAAAATAAGATAGCTATACCTGTTTCAATGAACATCCGTAGAAAACCAGTGATGCGGCACTTGCACTCAATGTCAAGTTCTTCATCATCACTGTCCTCCACAGGCCATGTGATTTTGTCTAGGAACATCTGGAAAAAAAAAGTTTGAAAAGTATTTTGGTGTCTAGGATAATTTATAATTCAGCACTGATGAAAAGGAATATAGATTACAGTCTTGGTAATTGAGAAAATATCCAGCTCAGTAAATTAGACAATAAGATTTGCACACACATTTATTAATATTTTAAGTATTGTTAATAAGTTGGATGTACTAAATCACCTGGGGTACAAACTGCATTCCTGCCATTTTCAGAAAAAGAAGTGGGACAACATCTGGCCTTGATGTCAGCAGGGGCCATAGCATCACATCTTTCAATCCCTTTCTCAACTGTTTAATTTGGCGCATGGTCCTCCCGATGACCTACAAGAAAGGCCAAACCCATATTACTGACCAAATATTAAAATTCTACAAAAGTCAGCACAGTAGAAAGTGTTTATAAAACTCTAATGCAGTGCTTAACAACCCTATAAAACCATTTGTATCATATTTGCTACGCAAGTTTCTGAGACCTCTGTCTTATCAACATGATCAAAACTTTCCTTTAAAACCTGTTGTATATGACCTGATACATGTATTCTGCCCCCTAGAGGATTTGCACTCTACTGCAGGCAGTGGAAGGGCTTTTTTTGACCTTTTAAAAAAATGGCCACCATCATGCTAGCATCCACACACTTTCAGCAGGAAAATCTTTGCTAATTTTCAAGAAGTTACAGTAAGAATAACATTTATATTGTTACTCATTCTTTAATAGGAGTATATTCTGTATTAAAACAATGCATCATTACTTAATAATTCATTCTTCATATTACAGTTAAATCGTGTTAAAAATGTGTGTATCACATTTGATACTGCAGGTATATAAGGTGCTTTATCCTTGAACGGTCATTCTAAATTTTTGTAATGTAATCTACATCATGCCTACCAATATACAAACACACACTATTTTAATGATTTAATAAATCTAATTAATGACTGAAATGCCATTTTAAAATACATTTTGGGTATTTTCACAATAACAATTCCTCTGAAATCATAATCGCTACGCTATATTGACCAATTTGTTATGTGTGTATTTTTAGATGTCAAAAAGAATAGAGGAAGAAGTGAGAAAACAAACGTACATTGAAAATGTCATCAACATGATAATGGATGGCAATTCAAGTGACATAGAGCAGTTAGGGGAAGATGATGAGGAGGATGAGGAAGAATGGACTCCTCAGGCCATGCATGATGATGGAAGTTCAGATAGCAGTGATGAGGAAGACTATCAAGAGGAAAGTGTAGCCCAGACAAGCACAGACGTTGAGATCCCAACAACAACACAGGACACAATCAGAAAGGAGTCAGTGAAGGCCAATGCACAAAGGAAAGAATACAGATGGAGAAAAATAAATTATCAAGCTCCATCTATCAATTTCATTGCAAGTGTTGAGGAAGGCACAGAAGACAGGTGTGACTGGACACCATACATGTATTTCAAACAGTTTGTCACTGATGAAATGCTAGAGGAAACTGCAGAACAAACAAACCTGTACAGTGTCCAAAAAGAGGGCAAGTCAGTAAACACAACTGCCAAGGAAATAGAGCAGGTTCTAGGCATGTACATTCATATGGGGTTAGTACAGATGTCCTCTGTGAGAGCCTATTGGGAGATGGAGACAAGGCTCCCTGCAGTTTGTCATGTGATGTCTCGAGATCGGTTTCTGAAATTGCTGACAGTGATTCACTTTCAGGACAACCTCAGTGTGTCTGATGATGCAAAGAAAGATAAACTGTGGAAGCTCAGGCCATGGTTACAAAAACTGCGAGAACAGTTTCTCTACATACCTCCTGAAGAAAGCCATGCAGTTGATGAAATCATGGTGCCATTTAAGGGAAAATCTCATCTACGTGTCTACATGCCTGCAAAACCTCACAAATGGGGTTTCAAAATGTGGGGACGTGCTGGACAAAGTGGCTTTCTTTATGACTTTGATATTTGTCAAGGTGCAGAAAATCCAGACAGAGAAAAGTCTGAAGTAGGTGTTACAGGAGAAGTTGTGCTGAAAATGACATCAACACTTCCAGCAGGAAAAAATCACAAGGTCTTTGCAGACAACTACTTCACATCAGTTCCCCTGGTGCAACACCTAAAAGAAAGAGGAATCCACTACGTTGGCACGATCCGGATGAACAGGATGAAACACTGCACCATGATGGATGAAAAAGAATTGAAGAAAATGGAAGAGGGTCAATGGACTTCAGAGTGAACCAGGAAAACAACATCGTTGTAAGATGGTACGACAACAAAGCAGTGAACCTGATTTCCTCTTTTGTTGGCACTGAACCTGTGGGAAATGTGAAACGCTGGGATCGCAAATCCAAAACTCACATAACGGTTCCCAGACCAGCCATTGTTGAAACATATAACAAGTTCATGGGAGGTGTTGATCTCCTTGATATGCTGTCTGCACTTTACAAGTTCAGCTTCAGATCCCGAAGATGGTACATGTACATCTGGTGGCACACTGTTACAGTGGCAGTCATCAATGCGTGGAACCTCTACAGAAGAGACCAGAAGAAGCTAAACCCCAAGAAGAAACCCGTGCCTCTGTGAAGGTTTCAGGCTTTGGTTGGCAGGAAAGGCCAAAATCAGGTGTGGCAGACCACTATCCTCTCCAGAAGAGACTCCAACACCACCCCGTAAAAGACCAAGCTGCAGTGTGCCTCTTGATGTGAGAAGGGATGGCATTGATCATTTTCCAACATGGGAAACCCGACAGAGATGCAATCACTTCTCACATGTCTACTGTGAGAAGTGTAAGGTGCATCTTTGCCTGAACAAGGACAGAAACTGTTTTTGTGCCTACCACAAAATGAAATAAAAAGGCTGTAAAAAGTGTTATGTTAAAAAAAACAACGAGAAAAGCTTCCTGAAATGTGTGCAAAAAATTGCCAAAAACGCCCGATGTATCAAATGTGCTACAAAACAAAATATCATAAACAACATGATATGAGAAAAACATTTTGGGGATTTTGTTTAAGGGTTTAATAAACATCTCAATTCCAAAAGAATAGAATTTCCTGGTTATTTTTTCATGTGTCAGGCTTTACAGGGTTAAGATGTATTTTTCCCCAATTATATCCTTTCATATTGCAACACCAAACCACTCCCTGCCTAGATTACAAGTTAAAGAGTGTTTAGGTTCTGTAATAATCCTGCCTGCAGTTCCAATTAGTTTGTGATTGAAATACAGATGTGCAAAAGAAATGCAGACGTGATAGAATTGCTTAGCTTGAAACATAATTGATGGATAAATGGGGGATGAGTTCAATTTCAGAAGGAGAATTCACCAAATCAGCAGGAGAAACTCACCGCGTGTACTAGAAGTTTGTTATGTAGCCACCTCTGATTCGTTTTAGTGACTGCTGGGAGATCCCAAGACAGGGAAAGATCTGACACTGTGTCCTTCTGTTCCTGAGTAAGTTCTTCAAGTTCAAGCTACAGTTTGGATCATAAAAGGTATTACACCTGTCCAGGAATTTTGCAAGGCAAAGGTTTTTTTGTTTGTGTGTTACATACCATTGTTATAATACTCCTGATGTGCAGATCAGGACAGTCCTCGACAACAATTGTTGCCATTTCAGGGTCCCCATTGAACAGTACATGAATAACAGCAGGACTTAATCCGGTGACATGGGGGCCATCATGCAAAAAGGAGTGGGCTATCATCCTTCCTGCAACCCGGAAGAGGTTGCTCTCAATAAGCACCTCTGATGCAGCTGGAACGAGATGGTCAGGCTCACCTTCAAATAGCAGAGTTTGGCCCACTCCTCCTGTAAGTACCAACAGAGCAGGGCTTCAAATCAAACAATTAACTTTTAAAATGCATGACATTAACCTGAATAGTAGCACATTTACCAAGATTCATTCTGAATCCAAACTGGAGTTTGGATATTATTGTTGTCAGAAAGTACCGCATCACTCCCTGTCCAACAGCAGCATCACCTATAAAACTTTTTTTTTTTTAAAGAATACTGTATACTGTTAATAACACACTAGAAACAAGCTGTAACAAGGCTATAGGTGCTTGACAAGTTTTAGGAAGGAAGGACAAACACATGAACTGTTATGCAGACAGCATGAACAGCCAATGCAGATTATCATATAATGATTAATATCAGCCAAATGACCTGATGGGACCAGTAAACCACTAATACCATTCCATATAAGACATAGAATTGATATTAATGTAACAGGATATATTTATATTATGAACTCTATTCTACTAACCATCAAGGGTACAATGAAGTGGACATGCCCATTCCTGTTGCTGTTTATAGAATGAGAGAAGTGCCCGTTCCCTGTCCTCCTCACGCTCCCTTACATCCATTTCAGTTTAAGAGGCTTCCCGGTTGCATGTTCACTTAGTAGATTATCTTTGAAAACTTGGGCAGCCAGAGTTGGTTCTTTAATAATCTTCCAGTCTAGACAAGAAGAAAAATAAATGTAACTACTTTGCATGTTAAATGCAGATAAACTCCCAATCAACAGAAAAGGAGGAACACCTGAAAAATGTGACAGAATCCAACAGCCTTTTAATAGATACTAGGAAAGTCCATTTCTACTTGACTTTCATCAGAATGATGCTTATTTGCTGTTTGAAGTCAACCAAGCTTCACTTAGATGTGGAGTCTGTGAACTGTATGAGGAAGTGTTTCTAAGGTTCTATAAAACAGCAGTGATAATGGCATGTCTTCTAGTCGTTATTTATTATGGTTAAAAGGTGTTATTCTTCTATTGACTGAGTTCTAATCATGCACAATATTATAGCATTCCTACTGTGATGACACAAAGCATTGTCAAGTTCTTTAAGATCAATCTTCTCACTTTCAATCACTACTGGTTCTACTTCACTCTCTACAGATGTTTCAGGCCTCACTGGAACGCTGTCCCTGTCAGTGGGTGGCTCTCTATCATTCTCCTCACCACGGTCTCCCTCTCCTTCTCTATGTGTTTCCTGCATGGGGGTCCTTGAAGTTCAGAAAATGTTATAGTCATTTCCTCTCATCTGTGTGCACAAAAACTAAAAAGACATTTCTTATTGAAAAATGAATATGTAATTCTTATATATCTTTAACAAGTGCATAGCCATCCCAGTTAGCTCGGTGCAGTTTCATTTCAGAGAAGGGAACCTCCTTCTGGACCAGAGGCATGTCCCGAGCTTTCCTAAGAACAACAAATCTGTTAAGTATTGATTAAAACTCCACAGTGCAATTTATTTGAACTATGTATCAAATGGTGACAGTGTAAATTTCCACACTGAATCAATGGGTAGGTCCTGTTGAAGTGGGCGTATGTCAATTGTAGCCTGTCCAATTGTTGGAGATGGATCTTTTAGATAGGTAAGGGTGTATCCTGTGCTGGGACATTGAAGAAGTCCAAGATTTCGACTGCGAGTAGATCCTGCAATTTTTAGAAACTCAAAGCCTCCCCCTTCTTGCAGCTTTGGAAACACCTCCATCAGTTTGTTTGTTACAACCATGGGATCGTTGTCATTTCCTGTAAATATACATAATGCACATTAACTCAAATACCAAAAGCTAAGCTGTGATAACAAATACACAGCAAGAAAATCACGTCATTAAAGTTTGAGTCTAATATGTAAAATAGGTGAACACAAATGGCGATAAAATGAAATTAAAAATACAACTCCTACTAATGTCAGGACTCAGTGCTTTGTCAAAGTTCTTGTTTCAGACGCACCTGAAAAGATCACCTTTGTTCTCCAAGTCCTGAAGCAAGAAGGTCTGCTTTAAGCTGAATGCTTGGAACTTTATCAGCCTTGTTGTTGTTGTTGTTGTTGTTGTTGTTGTTGTTGTTGTTGTTGTTGTTGTTGTTGTTGTTGTTGTATGGAGCAAACAGCCTTGCTACTTCGGCTGCAACACAGAGAAAATGTTACAGCTCCCATGATCGCCACTCAGCTAAAACATCCTTAAGTCCTGATAAATGTAATAAAGAAAGCAAACAACAACTAAAAAGAAAGAAGTGATAAAAGTCCAACTTCAGGGCTGCTGACATGCTAACACCATTCTGCCGACTAGCTAGCTTCGTTTAGAAGCACATCTGGCTATCCTTACCTACCTTGAACAGGTGTACGTGGTGTAGCGACAGGTATCTGCTGTACCTGTGCTCCGGAGAGCTTTTGGACATCCTGCACTAACACTTTGCACCAATGGTGAGCTGATTGATCCGTCTTCACTTGTATCATCAGCAACTATTTTTTCGGCGACAAATGAAGAGCGTACCGAAACGAATATACGGATGAACACTGTCACCTAACGTATCGGAGTGCATTCACTGCTTCAATCCATTATCTGGGATCGATCTGTCATGACTTGCTTTGCTGAGTAACCAATCAGATGTTAGAAACTTTGACGAGCAGCAGTGACAGATGAAATGATTTCATGATGCACTGCTGGTGTAGGGACCATGAAATGATAAAGTAAATAGTGAAATAATTAAATAAATAGTAAAATAATTAAATGTGGTTTTACATTAAATGAATTAACATTTTAAATAATTAATTAAACATTTCATTAATTATTTAATTATTTAATAACACATGCATTTAATTCATTAAATAATTATATATTTATTTATATATTTGTTGATTTATTTCCAATATTAAATAATTGATGACACATTTAATGATTTATTAATTATATATTTATATATTTCATTTTGGCACTTTTAGTCCTCCATAGGTGAGCGTCCAACTTCCCTGAATGTTAAACTGTAGTTGCCTTCTATCTTTGGTTTCCCGTCCGGTTAATGAAGTCTGCTTTACTTGTTTAATCGGTGGAATATGCGCACAGACATATCAGCACTTGTTCTGTTTAAACATCAGCAGGTCACTCACTGATAAGTCCCTGTCACTGTAATAACACCCTTTGTAATCTGCAGCGGCATTTCTCTTCGTCCCGCCCCGTCTTGTATCTCCATACAGCCGATATTATACCATAAATGATATACTATATTACTATATAGGCTACAGCATATGCTATATAGCCTATAGACAGTTTATGGGCCCACTATTGGTCCCCCCCCTCTGCAATGACCCACAGGCTCCGCGCCTGGTTTTAACGTTTACTTTATTGGGAGATATAACTAAAAATGCTCCCGAACAGGAGACGTTTTCCTCTTTCTCACAGGCTCCATTTCTCCAAAAAAAGAGAACCAAAACTACAACTCCCAACAACCAACTAACGCAAACTCACGAGGAGACATGACAAGTGGGTTTCACTTCCTCTTCCTCATTGAACACAAACAGATCAATGACGTAGACTCGAAGTGAGGAAAGAAAGAAATGCGCCTCCTACTCGACACACGCTTCAAAGCCTCGGTGTCAAACGTAACCTCATTAATCTGGACTTTTACCTGAAACTGAATCCACAAACCGGATAAGAGGTAAAAAAAGAACAAAGAATACAGATTAAAGGAACTTTGAGTGACAGGGAGTGACTCCCAGCTGTTCGTCTCCTCGTCTTCAGCTTGAGATAAAATGGCGTCCAAGTTAGAGGAAGATCTGAGCTGTCCGGTCTGCCTCACATCTTTAAAGATCCAGTCATCCTGTCCTGCTGTCACAGCTTCTGTAGAGAGTGTGTGAAGAACTGCTGGAAGGAGAAGGAGAACAAGGAGTGTCCGGTTTGTAAGAGGAGACAGTCAAAGGATTTATTACCTTTAACTTCTTTAAAGAACCTGTGTGAGAGTTTTGTGCAGGAGAGAGATCAGAGAGCTTCAGAGGATCTCTGCAGTCTGCACTCTGAGAAACTCAAACTCTTCTGTCTGGACCATCAGGAGCCGGTGTGTGTCGTCTGCAGAGATTCAGAAAACACAGCACACAGATTCAGACCCATCGATGAAGCTGCTGGACAACACAAGAAGAAACTTCAGGAAACTCTGGAGCCGGTAAAGAAGAAGTTAAATGTTTTTAAAGAAGTTAAAGTGAAGTTTGATCAAACAGCAGAACACATTCAGGTCCAGGCCCGACACACAGAGAGGCAGATTAAGGAGCAGTTTAAGAAGCTTCACCAGTTTCTAGAAGAGGAAGAGGAGGCCAGGCTGTGTGCACTGAGGGAGGAAGAGGAGCAGAAGAGTCAGAGGATGAAGGAGGAGATGGAGGCTCTGAGCAGAGAGATAGCAGCTCTTTCACACACAGTCAGAGACACAGAGGACGAGCTGAGAGCTGAAGACGTCTCATTCCTGAAAAACTACAAGGCTGCAGTGGAAAGAGTCCAGCAGCGCCCCCTGCTGGAGGATCCACAGCTGCCCTCAGGAGCTCTGATAGACCAGGCCAAACACCTGGGCAACCTGAGCTTCAACATCTGGAACAAGATGAAGGACATGGTCTCCTACAGTCCGGTCATTCTGGACCCAAACACTGCTCATCCAGTCTTCATCCTGTCTGAAGATCTGACCTGTGTGACACGAGGAGAGAGACAGCAGCTTCCTGATAATCCAGAGAGGTTTGATCATTACGGCTCTGTCCTGGGCTCTGAGGGCTTTAACTCAGGGACTCACAGCTGGGACGTCCAGGTTGGAGACAATAGATTCTGGAACCTGGGTGTGTTACCAGAGTCTGGACAGAGGAAGGGAAAGAAAGAGTCTGGATTATGGTTAATATGGTTCAGTGATGGTAAATACAGAGCACGCACCCCATCACATCCAGTCACTGCTCTCTCAGTGAAGAAGAAACTTCAGAGGATCAGAGTGAATCTGGACTGTAACAGAGGAGAGCTGTCCTTCTCTGATCCTGATACTAACACACACATACACACCTTCACACACACTTTCACTGAGAGGATGTTTCCATTCATTAACACTGGTGATAAACTCCCACTGAAGATGTTACCAGAGAAGATCTCTGTGACTGTGTTGTCCTGATGTCTCTGGTTGTCTTTATGACAGAGCTCAGATCTGTTTGGTGTAACTCAGGGACTCACAGCTGGGACACTGTGGGGGGGTAGAGTCTGTCCCTGTTCTCTGAGTGAAGAAGAGGCTGCAGAGGATCAGAGTGAGTCTGACACCAACACACACTTTCACTGAGAAACAGTTTGCATGCATCAGAACTGAGAGAAGAACTCCCACTGAGGACTTAACCACTGAATCTCTGTGACTGTAGATTTAAAAAAACATCTTGATGATTAGAATCAAATTTCACTCATTTTTCTTAAGCGATATTTGAACACCTTAACAATCAATGATCCATTAATGATGAATAATTAATGAGCCATAAAAAGCTCGTCTTCTTCTCAGTTTATGTTTTGTTGAAGTTATTTTAAACATGAATTCATTAAATACAATCAGTTTGAAATAATTAAACTACGAGGCTCTCTCTTAAAAACAACGTATTGTCATGATTTGGTCTTATGTAGTTTGTATTTTCAGTTTGTCTCCTAGCTTAGTTTCTAGTGTTTTTATTTTGTATTTCCTATACCTGTGTTTCTTTGTTCTAGTGTGTTTTCTTGGTAATGTTTCATTCTTGAGTTCTGTGTGTCTTTTAGTGTTTCATGATTTAGTTTGTAGTTGTCCTCAGTGTTTCTTGTATTGTATTCCTGCCTCTGTGTGTTTCCCTCCGTGTTGATGACCCTCATTGTCTTCACCTGTGTCGTTAGTCTCACCTGTGTCTGATTACCCCATGTGTCTATTTAGTCTCTGTGTTTCTTGTCCTCTGTGTCAGTTCATTGTTTGTTGGTATTTGTCAGTTTTTGCTCGTGCTCCTGTGTGGCTCTCTGTTTTTGATCCCTGTGTTTTTTTTGTTGAACTTTTGGAAGTAAGTTTTTGTTTATTAAATATATTTAGTTAATTCTGCACGTGGGTCCAGTTCCTTGTTTTTCCCCTGAACGTGACACGTATAACTGTCCTTATCACCTGTTCTGAGTTTGAGTCTTTCTGGAGCTTCATCCTGTAAAGGTTCGGCTCTGTGGGTTTGTTATCATGTTTGAAATGTCAAATATAAGACCTGAAGACTGTTCATATTTCTTTACCATCTTCATGTTCAGAGGATGAACCCTCCTCTGAAGAACGCTTTACGTTCTTTAGAACAACAAAGAGTTTAAATATGTGGTTAGTGTGAATCCTGTTCCTGTAATCATTAATAAAGTTTCTTGATCTGAATCCGTCTTTATGACTCGTGTTGTGTTTCATTGATCTTGTAAAAGTCATCATGGAGGAGTGTCTCTCCTGAGAGGAGGAGTTTGTCTCTGTCAGTCATTATAAAGTTATTCTGATTATTTCAGGTGTTTCTTTAAGTCCAGTCTAAACCTGCGACCTGAACCTTTCAGATCCAGTGGATCAGTGTCGTCTCTGACTCGTCCGTCAGGTCGGAGAGAGAGTTAGATTCAGAGATCCAACGAGCTCTGGAGAACACGGGGTTAATGATTGAAGGTCAACGACCTGATGAACATCACGTGTCCGTTATTGAATGCTTTAACCGTTTGAACAGATTCATTAGAGGGAGGCAGCGGCTCACAGGGACTTGAACCATCCACCACGTCAGGCTGATTGTTGGAGGGAACATGTGACAGCGTTCAGAGAGAGACGCTGGTGATGACGTGTTAGAAGAAATAAACGCAGCATTGTCTGATAAGACAGACTTTCTCAGACTTTTTTCCTCAAGTTTTTTTTTCATGCACACATTCGTGACCCACTGAAAATGGCTATATATCACGAGTTTGTCGCTATATTGCACCTAATAAAAAATAATAATAATTAAAAACAATAATAATTAAAACCGCAAGCGGTGATGAAGGGCCCTCGCACCCCTGTGCATGTCGGGTGTGTGTGCGACCACGGGAGTGCAGCAGCAGCGAGCGGAACGTGGCTAAGCAGCATGCCGTGCAGTTTGATTTGGTGTAAAAGTCATCGTACTGGCATTTTGAAATGGGCAACGCAATGAAGATCACGTAAAATGTTGACGTAGAGCAGTTCAGGCTTGCACTGTGATGATAGCTATGACATTTGGAGGAAATTGAGCATTGTGTATAGGATGTAGTACTTACTCTTTGCAGTAGGGGGCGCTATGGTTGAAGTTGACTATTGTTTTGCCATTGTGTCCAGAGGCCAACCCTGATTATACCTGAGAAATGTAAAAAAGATCAGACAAAGTATATAAGATGTAGTACTTACTCCTTGCAGTAGGGGGTGCTATGGTTAAAGTAAATGATTGTTATGTCAATCTGTTCAGAGGCCACCCTGATCATACATGTGAAATTTTAAAGCAGATCCGATGAAGTATATATGATGTAGTGCTTAGTCCTTGCAGTAGGGGGCGATATGGTTAAAGTTGACTATTGTTATGTCAATGTGTTCAGAGGCCAA